ATGAAAATGTGAGTAAATTTAAAAATTAAATTGTTTGGAAACGTCAAGAATTTTAAAAGTGACTCTCAGCGGTTCTACCTTACTATATTTTTATCATGGATCAGGTGATTAAACGTGTAACACCTCTGAGTGTGGTTATTCTGATTTAATTTTTATTTAAGTGAAGAGCATAGGTCACTTAAATCAAAATTAAAATTGATTGGTGAAACCAAAAATTCGAAAATTAAAGTAACTTTCATTGAATGAATTTGGTGAAACTGGCTGTAAGATTACTGTAATCGTGAAATACATGACTACGAATACTGTAATTGTAATCGTAAAAATCGTAATCATGAAAATTACGATTACGAACACTTTAATTGTAATCCTAAAACTTTATGATTACAATTAATATAATCGTAATCAAGAAAATGTCCTTAGGATTACGATTACTGTAATCGTAATCATAAAAAGTACGATTACGATTCCAGTAGTCGTATCGTTACATTTTACGGATTACAGTAAAGTATTCGCAATCAAGCACGGTATAATTACAATTACAGTAATTGCAGTCCTAAGTAATCAAAATGTAATCGTAATCCTAAGTGCCCAGCTTTGCTTCAAACACTGCGGATATTGGGACATCGCATGGCAAGCGTTATACATCTGGACTAAAAATGAAGCCACAGGCATTAAAATGATTTTCGTAAACACGCAAAGAATCAACTAATTGAACACCGCAAATACTTGTCCAACGTTGTCGCTTGACTTGATTTCTCCGGCGCTTAAAGTAACGCACAAATTAACTGTCTTAGCTCTTACAACACACAGCACACTGCTCGTAATTCCACTTAAAGTGTGTTTGCATTGTTCAACTTTGCGTTCAACATTTGCGTTCAACTCAGCGCAGGGTTGCACGAAAAAAAGTTGAATGGCTAAAAATATAAAAATATGAAAAAATATCAAAATATTCGCCATAAAGAGGTGTTTGCATTGTTCAACTTTGCATTCAACTTTTGGTTGAATGGCCTTTCAACTAATCGCTTTCAACAAAGTTGGTCGCCAGCCAACATTTAGCCATTCAACTTTTTTTTCGTGCAACCCTGCGTTGAGTTGAACGCAATTGTTGAACGCAAAGTTGAATAATGCAAACACTGCTTTAGTTTTAATTTTTCAAATTCGATTCGTAGCTCATAATTGGAATGAGAGAACCATGATAAAAATATTTAAAGGTAAAACCACGATTGAGAGAATACAGAGGTTGCGCCGATCTCGGACCGCTATTCCTCTCTTAACGAATTTGACAGAATCGTTGTTTGCATGACGTCCCACTGGTGCAACTTGTTTACGTTTTTCTTGCAACATTTTTTCTTCTTCTTCCATTCTTGCTCACGTTTTGGCATTTCTCTCTCGCAATTGCACCAGTGTGACGTCGGACAAAAGTTATTCTCAAAAATCCTCTCTGATCGGCGCAATCTTGTATTCTATCATTGGGTTTTTTTTACTCCTCGAAATAACTCAAATGTCAAATAAATTCAAAATAAATAAATGAAAATTTATGATTTGAAAATTAATTATGTAAATGTGCGAAAAACTTAAAAATTTGTAGAAGGAAAGTAAAATACTGCTTTAGCGGCTGCGCAAATACCGTTTTTCTCTGCAAGCAAAGCATACAATTAGAAGTAAAATGTGTATTATTAATTCTATGCGAATTTGAAATATAGTATTTGGTGTTTTAATGGAAATACTAAACAACACATAAAAACATGCATTTTTGATTTCAGTTATTCGTCATTTCCTGGAAGAAATCTAGAATACCGACCCTTCTGCTATGCAAAAACGAAAAATGCAGATCAATAGAACTTTTTATGCTCATTTCAACCATGCCAAAATTATTTGGCGAAAGTGAAAAATGAAGACGTTCTCTAGAAGCTTAAAGTTCAGTTTTTAGATTTTTTAATATTAATATCTTATGAACTATGTAACCGATTAAAAAACTAATGACGTCACCATGAAGATAATTAATTTTTCTTTCAGCTGATGTACATAATTTATAGCTTTTTGTATTTTTAAACCAAAACCACTAAAAAACGTAAAAATGTTATTTTTTCATGAAATAACCTTTTTTGAAAAATCTGCATAATTAATGGTAAAGAAATTTATATTATTTACAAAGTACAAGTTATTATCATTGATTCGATATTACATATTTTGTCATGATCTACAAATAAACAAAGCAAATAAACCTCTTATATCTTCTTTATTTTTTACCTGCGCCAAATAAATTTGGTATCGTTGAAATCAGCGTAAAAAGTTCTATCAATCGGCATTTTTGGTTATTTTATAGCTAAACGGTCGCTATTCTACACTTGTTCTAGAAAATTACGCAAACGAAGGTGATGCCAACGAATATTTAGTATGAACTAATATCACTAGAAACTGTAGGGTAAGCAACATTCTGCACAAGTAAAGGAGCCGATTTTATGTGTGGAAGCGAGAAGCCTGTTTTATTACAAAACCTTTCTATTATTGAATCATGTTTCTTTGGTTTGAGTGAAAATAATAACAAACAAATGAAATGACGACGAGAGAAATTTTCAAAAATGCACACGTCAAAATTTCTAAAGCTGGCTCTCAGCGGTTGTACCTTATAAATATTTTTATCATGGAGAGAACTGTCGAAATCATTTCTACCTTGTTAAATATACCTTGAGTATAAGATTCCTTTTACTAGGAACTTAATAAAAATATAAAATTTTTGAAGGGAGTCTTAAATATTTAAATCCAAAGCTAAACCTTCTAAACTCACTTTAGTTCTTTATCAAAATGTCACAGAAATATAATAAATAAAAAGCATTTTGTGATAACATTTCTTAAATTTCTCCTTGTGCAAGTGTAGATTAACTATTGTCTTGTTGTATAACCTATTTTTAAGATAGGACTTTATTATGTATATTGGTAGGGTTGCAAGATTTTGAAACGGAGAAAGGAGTACATTTATATTTTCGATAGAAAAAAAGCAGTACAAGACATAAAAAAAGAGTGAATTTTTTTTTAAATTCCACTTAGTAAAGGTTATAATCCTTAAGCGCGGCCGAAGGCCGCCTACGCAGAAAGGAGTTAAGTGCAAAAATACTGTGGATACCGAAGCCGGAGTTATATCCACAAGATGTGTTATACAGTTTTGACAAAAAAGGGGGGTTCCTCCTCTCTTCCTCGGCAACACAGAAAGGAGAATTCTACGTAGTAAGGGTTATAATCCCTAAGCCCTTTAATTTTATTATTTTAAAATTTTAATCCTTATTTGCATTTGCCAGTTTTGGGAGATAAGTACATGCGACACGCACGTCTTTTTCATGTGTATTTTTTTAGACTTTGTATAAAACAAGTAATTTTTAGCAAAAAAAAACCGACTTCAACTCTCATATAAAAAAAAATATATATATATATATCTCATGATCCACTGATCGGATCTTAACCAGATTAGTATGGGACCACCTCTGAGACACTACCTTTCCGATGCAAAAGAATTATCGAAATCGGTTGACGTGGTCCAAAGTTATGCGGTAACATACATAAAAAAACAAAACAAAAAAAAAATATTCCGACGAACTGATAACCTCCTCCTTTTTTGGAAGTCGGTTAAAAAGAAAAATACTGTGTAGGGTTGGTCGAATGAATGCCCTCCTAGTCACCTTTTCCGAGTCTTATGTTGGACAAAAGACGGAGCATAAAGGACCCAAATGGTGGAAATTAGCCTATGGTTACATAAGATATGTAATAAAGTTATCGACAAAGACTTGCGTGCCGCTTGCCCTTTTCTCCCAAATCCGCTGGTAAACCGAAATGAAAGTTAAAATTTAAAAACTAATTGATAAAATTTAAGTAAAATCTGTGGAAAATTAACAATAAAAACCACGGTAAACCCAAATGAAGGTTAATATTAAAAAAAAAATTAAGTAAAATCTGTGGATAATTAACAATAAACCAAATTTTTCGCAAAATCTATAAAGGTTCCTTTTTATTTTACAAAAAAAAAAACTGTGCACCAGTTATTATTTTACACCCTGTATATGATAAAATATTAATAGCTGGAAAAAGGAGTACAAAAGGAGTTCAAAACTAATAAAGGAGTACATTTCCACATATTTTTTTTGGGAGTACAAGGGAGTACAATGCAATAAAAAGGAGTACGTTTACTCGCAAAAGCAGTACGTCTGGCAACCCTATATATTGGTGAAGTGTTTTCGAATAAATTTAAAAATTTTGTGTCAGGAGCCTCTCCCTTTAGATAGTGTCAAACTCAGATAATGAGCGTATTGTGAAATTAATTTGAAGTCGTAATACATATTTAAAACTTTAGCTTAAATGGCATAAACAATCATATGGATAGCGTATTTTAAATATTTAAATGAGCGAATTAGTTGATTCTCTTTTGGTAATTAACCGATTTATGTATGATTTAACTAGTACAATACTACATAAAAAAACGGTTCTTTACTTTTGAAGATTTTAAGTTCCGGCGATCTGAATAGACCTGTTAATCCCGGCTGAGTCTCGGTACATCGTCTTCGGAAATTTCGAACTTTGGTAAACAAAAGTCTTAACATAAAATGGATAACCAAGCAACATGTTATGTTATTGTAGTTTATTAAAAAAAAAAATACAAAAATATGATCAATCAAAAAATAAGAAAAGGAGAACCATTTCTAAAAAGAAATTAAAAAAAGAATCAATATGCATTGTTTTTGTTATATTTATTAAATAATTTGAATCTATAAAAATATATATGTATTTATATATCATGTAAAATGTATGTACATATGTATGTATGTTAATTGTGGTAACAGAGTTATACATCAATGAATACATATATGTATTGACATTTAATCGGCATAAAATAAACATATTAATTATTCGAAAATGCCAACTAAAATGTGTAGTATTATTTATAACTGCGAAATTATTTGAGAAAATATCGCGCGAAAGCTTAACGCTTCAGAATATGTATGTATGTTATGTACATACAAATGTATGTGTAACCATATTTTCATCGTAATTCGCACGAAGTGGTTTAAACCACATATTAAACTACGTAGTATATTTGAGAAATATTCATACATGTATCTACAAAACTAAAAATTGTAATATAAAAATTTTATAAGTAACAGAAATAAACAAGATTGTGCCTTTTCAGTGCAGTAACACATTAAATTATTGCGATATATTTACAGACAATAGAAAATTAGTTAACAATAAAATATATACGAAAGTATATACAAATATGAATAAAAAAATTCGTAAAGGCATAATATAGTACATAAAGTTTATGTATACAAAATAAAAAGTACATGCTAAATTTATCAAAACCGATGTGCGTCATAAAGATAGAGATTCCTCCAGAATATTTATGTATGTATAAATTGTTTGCACATGCTTTACTATTTAATTAATTTCGTATAAATAAATAACTGTTGATTTCAACATTTCGTTAATTCTATTCCGTAACAAATTAAAAGAAAAGCTTGTCTACGCTCAACAAACAAACGCCTGCATTAAACATACACTCGAAATTCACAATTTTGTTAACACTAAAAGGAATGTGATTGAGTCAAGATATTGTTTTCGCATTTTAACCATTTCTAATTTTTTCGTTTCGTTCATATGCATCTGTGCCTGTAGTATGTATTTATGCCCGGATTCTGCCAAAGTTTACATGCACACATGTATTTACCCTTGTGTACGGCAATTCTGTTTAATTTCATTTATGCATCTATTTAGAAAAATGTATCAAATAATTTCAGTTTTCTCTCGGCATTTTATGCTATCGTGGAAAATACAATATGATTCTAAAAATTGTTTGCTTATAAAACTGTAAATGCAATTGTACATAAAGTACGTAATTTCTGTTTTCTAAAATTTCATAGTTTTTAGTCTTCGCTTTAGACGTCCAGTTCTTCGAGTGTGCGTGATAATCGGTTATTATCGATACGCCTGCGTTGGCTGCGTCGCACTGCATCGGCTCGCCGGTATGGTTCACTCTTTAGCCCCAGCAAAATGTCCTCGAGAGCACCGTTGTAGACTTCGTCTTGTTGAAGCAATTTTTTTTCCCGCACCGAATTCGTTTTGCTCTTCAGCTCGTTAATGACAGCGTCCTGTAAGGAGAAGCCACAACCGGGCAACTGTTATCAATTCCAAACGAATTAAAGAATAAATTGGAAATTCGGCGATTCACATTTAAACCAAAGCAGCAAACAAAAGCAAAAATTGCGTCACGTGAAAGCCAGTAAGCGCATGTTCATGTATGATAGAACGCATGAAAATAGGAGAAAGGATAAAGAATAAAATTTAGTTAGTTTGCACCATCACCAGACTTGTATTTTTTAGCTAAATTAATATAATGCTACATATTTATATAATGCCGTCCATATTACAAAATGCACTCAGTAACTTTTCAAAACACTATCTTAAACCATATTAAATTTATTTTATACCAATTCCGGAACCATCTATTATATATTTTGAAAGTCTCTAATAAAACGCAAAATTATCACTTAGGGTATTTTGTTATGGTGATGACGACAAATAAATATGCAGGTATGCATAATTTAATTCAGTATCGTATTATTAAAGTACAGAAGCTCATTAAAAAATTATGTTGCATGACTTTGGAAATGTTTAGTATATTTTATTTCACTTATTGTTATTCATATGTATGTTGTATTTTAGGGAACACAAAACGTTATTTGGAGGAATAAAGGTTAGAGAAATTAAACTTGATGTGATATTATTCTCTATTTGAGATAAATTGTTCTTAATGTCTTCAATAACACGAATGCCTTCCCGTAGATACAAACCATTGGTTCTAAATTTTTGTATTCAAGCATGCAATTGAAGTTACGGGTTAATAAAAACCCAAATCTGTTTTTATGTTATTATTTGTAAACATTTATTTAGTTCGGCGAATAAAAAACGTCCAAGAAATGGTAAAGGAAAATTTATTGAGCCAAATTTTCTTGCGAAATTTGCTACGCTTTCTACCATCATACAAAAAGAGAAGGTAGTTCCATTGGCACTTTTTCGTCACCATATTAACAACCTGACAATTAAGAAGATGGTGACATTTTGTGCTACCGTATCCAATATCTAAAATCCTCCAAATTTTGTTATTAATTTTTTGTTTATTTACAAACATTTTGTTCTTAGAATCGGAATTTGAACAAGCAAAGGGTACATATTTTGTTGGGTACGGCTCGGTTATTTGTACCATAATTTTGGGTTATTGTGTCAAAACGATTAACCCAAAGCAAAAAATGTTAACACACACGTGTGGTCAAACAATTAAACGTTGGTTTAAATTAAAGATTTCTAATTTTCAGATACAAATTTATGAATAAATTCGGTTTGAAATATGGACCTTTTTGTAAGACATACTGTGGTCAGCGTAGCCGGAGTTGGACTGATGAGGGTTATTTTTTCTAAGTGCTGCCGAAAGCCTACAACGCAAAAAAAATTGCCTGTGTTTGGCGTAACCCGCGTTTACATTTTCTCTGCCCAAATGCCAATTTTACCTAATTTTTCAATTGGCCCCCCTCCGTCTCCGCCCAAAACCATTGCACAAATAACCGAACATTTCCCCTTTTGTTTTTGAAAGAGAAGTGGTCTAATGCTCAAAAAGTTGATAATTATGTTTCTAGTTTTCATATTAACAATAAATCATCAATTTTGTTTCACATCCCCTCCAATATTGAACAGTAAAATATATTTAGTTTTAGAATTGGATAATACTCACGTCTCTGAGTCATGAGGCCTATAAGTCCCAAAAAAATTTCTGTTTTCAAGTTACTTGAAAGACATGGACAAAGACAATATCGAAATGTGTAATTTCAGTGTCTCAATTATAACAGAAACAATCGTATCCGATATAGAAAACTGTAATAGTCCCGACTAGCTAAACAAATTTGAAAATATATTCACTAAAATTTTATTAATGTAAAAATAAAGATTTTTACAAGTAGCTATCGACATTAATGTAAAATTTAAACGTTTTTAAAATAAGATAATAACTATTTTTAAAAGGTAAATGTTAATACAACTATTTTATTTATACGGCCAAATTTAGGATACAAAATACCCTCCACCAAAAAACTTAAATTGGGTAACGCCGCTTCGAATTTTTTACAATTGAGCAATTGTCAAAAATCTTCTTTTTAATCAAAAATTTGTTTATTGAAACTACCTTCTTTTTTGTATCATGCTTTCTACTATGGTTTGCTAAGGTTTGTTTGTGAAGGGTACAAGTGAGACAGTAGGTTGTAATATATCAGATGTCAAAACTCCTTAAACACGACTATTCACACACACGAAATAATAGCAATTTATTTCTTGGCCGTTTGCTTAAATGTCCGTTCTTGGCTTTATACATTGAAATAAGCAAAATAAGCATGATCGTTAAAATTAAGCTTGGAAACCCTGAATAAGCAAAATAAGCAATTCCAAGCAAAAGCTTAAACTTTTCGGCCCTGCTGAGGATAAACACAACTTCGCAAATTTATATACTAGTTAATTACATTTTACAGATGAGATAATTTTAGTGACTAATAAACCAATTAAAAATACAGTTGACTACTGCGGTTGGGTTGAGTTCAAAGTTTTCAAACTCTACGTCTTCGCCAGGAAAACTGAAATAAATGACTTAACCGTTTCACAGTGAGATTGAAACTCGTAACTCATGCAATGTTAGCTTCGACGAACGCTCTTCTTTACGGCGGCCTCTCACTTACTCGCCTTTATTATTTTAGTTATTCATAAACCTTTGGACTAGGTTATTTTCATAAAACAAAAAGTACAATAACTTAATTTGCACTCATTACGAATTGAACTTGTTAAGGGTTTTGTTAAAATGCGTATCAGCCAATATACATAAATGTGTACAATTTCGATTATTTTTTTTTTTAGTAGGGCATCGTATTATCGGACGAACGCGCTTAATTTATGTAAAACAAATTAGTTAGTTTGATACCAAATTATATACATGTAAGTATTAATAATCGTCAAGTAGTTATCGTTTGTTACATAAAATGTAAGAAATAAGAGCCTTAAAAATGTAATTAAAACTTAACACCACAAATTATTAAAAAAGCATACATTCATATGTAAGTAAATTCGAACAAATGACAAAAATACAATCAATTTGAGAACACATAAGAAAGGGGAACTTAAACAATTTAAAACATGATATTAGAAAAACTAGTGCTATAAAAATAAATTTCTCTACGAAGCTATTGAAGTTTGATTTGTGGGGACTTACTCATTTTTCATCTTATGAGCGTTGGAAATGCCAACAAGATGGAAGGCGAACCAAAATGTCTTATACCAGATCTTTAGCTATTCTAAGTTACCGAGTCCGACATCCTTTATGGTTATCACTTATCGCTTACCAGGAAGGGTGATGCTTGAGGTGGTGGTGATGATCTTAGTAATCGTGGGAGCGATGCGTTATTGGTAATGGTGGTGGTTGTGATTGTGGTGATTATCGTGACGGTGAAGGTAAATGTAATAAACATAGAACCACTTCCTTCTTATTCTATGTGGGTAATTTCGTGTTTTTTTTAATGATGTGAACTACACGTAATTTTTGTATGTATTTTCTTTTTCTCGAATACATGGTATATGCTTGAATTATATGTATGTACATATGTTGAACATGTATGTATTATGTGCTATGATTTGTGTATATGTCATTGTGTTGTTGTATTAGGCTTGTATAATTGTGCGCAGCGCTTGTCTATTAGAAATTAAGAATTAGAATGCAAGCAAAATCTCTTACACGATGTTTTTTCACTCGTGTCCTTTACTAACCCTTTGCGCAATGCACTCGTTTAAACCGGACAATACTGTCATGACAATAGCAATACATGCACACATTTTCACTAATACATGTATACTTTTCCAATTGTCTCAATCACTGTCTTGATTATTTTCAAGACAGTAAATCGGACAATGATTTGACGTATGCGTTCGATACTGTCTCCCATAACATGTTATTGTGGAAACTTGAAAAAATTGGTTTCCATTCAACTTTTCTTTCTTGGTTAAGGTCATATCTCTCGAACAGAATCACTTATGTAGAAATTGATAATATTAAATCACATCCTTTCGTAGCCACCTCCGGTGTCCCGCAGGGCAGTATCTTAGGACCGCTATTGTTTGTTCTCTTTATAAATGATATTGGGAGCTGCTTTAACCATTCGAAGTTTCTACTCTATGCAGACGATTTGAAAATTTTCAGAAGTGTTACCTGCTTGTCGGATATTTCACTTTTGCAAAGTGATTTAAATAATCTAACTAACTGGAGTCTCACAAATAAATTATCGCTTAATATTAATAAATGTTTTTACATGACTTTTGCTAAAATTCTAAATCCTATTATCTCAACTTATACCATTTCTAACGTTCTCCTATCTGTTGTAAATGAATTTGTGGATCTTGGCGTGGTATTCGACTCAGGATTTTCCTTTGTCAACCACATAAGTTTGATTATTCCTAAAGCCTATTCTAACTTAGCTTTTCTTACACAAGGAAATCCATTTATAATTCTCTAGTTAGATCAAAATTGGAGTATGCGTCTATAACCTGGGACCCAATTTATTCCACTCACTCCCAAAGAATTGAAAGAGTCCAACGCAGTTTTGTCCGCTTTGCTCTGCAACCTCTTGGTTTTAGTGAGCCTCTTCCGTCTTATGGGGCCCGATGTATGTTAGTAAATATGAAATCTCTTGCTTCTCGACGTATTATACATTCGCTAATGTTCATTTACGACATAATCTGTGGCGTCATTAATTGTCCTTATCTCCTTGAGCAGATATGTTTTTACATTCCCTATCGAGCATTCCGCTTTCGTTATCCGTTTCATGTGAAAACTGCCAAATCTAATTACTTAAATTTCGCCCCTATTATAAGGGCCCTTACTGAGCTTAATAGTATATTTAGTAGCCTCGATTTAGATTTCGCTCTTCCTAGATCCTTATTTTTATCTAAGCTTGAATCCCTAATCATGTAGTTTAGTGTGTAAGCTTTATCTTTAAGCTGATGTTGTACCTCTAGTCTGTAAGGTTTGTAACCATAGACTTAATAAAGAAATGAAATGGAATAATTTTGACGTCTTGTGTAAGAAAGAAGAGACATTCATAACAAAAGAACTAAAATAACACAAGAGACGCTGATGTGTACACTCTAAAAAATTTTTGTTTAAATTTGCGCATATTAAGATAGGTAACCAGTTTCCTCTCTTAATGAATGCAAATTTAAACACTGCTTGCTTTCTTTTACTTATCATATGTGTGGCGTAGAACAAATTTCAAATTTGTTTTTTGAGTTTTAAACATTTATTGTTCACATTTTCACAGTTTACACATAATATGTTTAAAATTTCCTCTAAAAAATTTACGTTTAAATTTACGCATATAAAGAGAGGTAACCAGTTTCCTCTTCTAGTGTGTACAAAATTAAACACTGTCTGTTTACTTTTACATATCAAATTTGTCACGTAGCGCACACAAGGGACGGGTTTTGGGGGTAAATTTATTATGATATAAGAAATTTTGATAGAAAAAATTTTCTTTTCCATTTCTTGTGCGTCATTTTGTAAGAATCTTTCTTTTTTCTTGAGAGCTCTTTAAAGTTTAACTGCGAATGAAAGCATTGTCCTAAAAATATGCAATGCATACTCACTTACTGTTGGTTTTAACACTTTACAGGCTAAAAAAGTTTACCACTGATATGTACTTAATAAGCATTCGAAGATTTAATTTGCTAACTTCGAATTCATTCCACCAAAATGAGCTATCACATAAAAATACAAGTTCAGTTAAATTTTCGTTATTCGAAGTATTAAAAAATGAGAAACCAGAAATCGACGAAAATGAATAAAAAGTGTAAAAATTTAGCGAAGTTATTTAATTTGTTTATATTAGAATTCTTTTGTAAAATGTTGTATTACTTTTGAAACTTGAGTGCATCTTTAACCGTTAATTTTTTCATGATTTAATGATCGGATCTAAACCAAATTACGAGACTACCCTTAAGGTACCATTTTTCCGGTAAAAAAAATAATTATTGGAATCGGTTCACGCGGTGCAAAGTTATGGGGTGGAATAAATAAAAGAAGTAAAAATACTCCGAAGAATTGATAACCTCCCCTTTTTTGAAGCCGGTTTTAAATAGTCTGAGTTCTTTGTAAATTTTATGTAAATAAAATGCAATTGATGATACTTTAAAAAGTTTATTTATTTATTTCATACTGTAAATAAAACTTTCATAAATGTATTTTAAAGAGCGAATTTTCAGTATTTGCTGATGATATATATTTAGAAGTATAAACCCTTTCCCCCCAAAAATATATTCCTGCGTGCGCCCCTGGCACTTAGTATTTATTATTTGTAAAAAATATATTTTTACTTTCAAAATGTTTGTAATTTTAAACATTTCATGTGTATATTTTAAACAACTTATGTTCAAAACCAAATCTTGAACATCTTGTGCGTATACTTGAACAGATTCTGGTTGAAAAATAAACACTTTTCAGTAGTAGTTTTACATGCATTTTTTAGAGTGTATGTAACTTTGTCTCTTCTTTATTATTACAACGCTTTTTTTTAGTTTAAATAGCTCGCGCGAAATGCGTTCACGTCCGACATTTTGCTCAAAATGAATTGTCATAACCAGGGAACGGATTTTTAGGACCTAAAAACCTATAAAAAGGCAAAATAAAATAACGAAATAGGCTGGAAAAGGCAAAATAAAATAGCGAAAAAGGCAGGAAAAGGCACTAGGTATTGCAAAAAAAGCAAAATAAGGCACTAAAAAAGACAGAAAATACGAAGAACAATCAAAAAATACATTTATTTTAGAAATGTTCATATTACAAGTAAAAAGAGAAAAACTATGAACTAGTTTCATTATATGAAAAATTTGTACTTTGAATCTTTGGCTATTTTATCCTTTCGAGTTTCGAACTTTATAGTTGTAGTAACATTGAACCACAAGATGCATTTTGAAGTTTTCTGACAGCATTTTCATTCGATTTTCGCGAAGAAAAGCCTTGAATGTACTTAATGTGTGCTCGAGGTAAGTTGATACAAGTGGAGCCCAATTTAAATATGGAACGTTTGAAACGTTCATATTATCAGGAATAAGGGCGTTTTCCTCGCCCTTTATAATTTTATCCACATCCCTTATTGTCTCCAAGCCTACGTTAGCTGAGAAAATGGCTTTGAATTTTTCCAACACCAATTTGACAAGAGGTCCCTGCGCTTCTATAAGCCGCATGGGCATGTGTATATTTTTTAATCTTAACAAAAATTGTAAATGCTATAATCACTTTTTTAAAGGTAGAAAAGGCAAAAAAGGCAAATATCTTAAAAAAGGCAAAAAAAGCTACATCAAATGTGTATATATGGAATCAGGGAAAGCTAAACCGAGGACATTCTTAATCGACTATACTCTATCTCTTTAGTAGAAAAAAAGGCAATTTCCATAAAATCCGTTCCCTGGTCATAACTATTGTCAGGACGCCTACGCCACGAAAACAATTACCAGCGTTTTTGACAACTTATACGTATTTCTTTATTGTCTTGACAGCATTGTCTAATGTAAACGCGCCGTAAGCCGCAGCAGTCCCGACACCAAAATACCACTTGTATGTAAAAATATTATTATTCATTTTAACTTAAGCCAAGCACCTTTTTGTCTAATTTTACAATAGATTTTTGCCAAACACTCCACACGCCACATTACAATTATTATTACATAACGAATACGAATAACTTGCTTAACTGTACGAAATTTTGAAATTTTTATATATCTGCAGTTATTTGCTTTGTCTTTTCACGCAGAATTAATAAGCGCTTTGTGTAGTAAACTGCTTTCCATAGTCACGCAACCCAGTTTCTGTATATGGATGAATGAATGAAGAAAAAATAAAAGCAATAACAACTGCAACCAACACAATTACCAAACAAATCATAAATTATGAAGCGCTGTAGCCAAAATATGCTAAAAGGTTTTCAAACTTGTCTTTATTACATTAAAAAGCCTTAGAGTAGTAGTTGTGTATCCTCTAAAAAAGGGAGTAGTAACTTTTTTATCGCACACTCTCACCTGCTGTTTCTTCTGGTTCATTTTGTTGCGCAGTAATACTTGGTCGCTTTCTTTTTTGTTTGCAGCCTGGGCAGCTGCCTGTTCCAGACGACGGCGTTGCTCGTTTTCTTGGTCGTGGATCTAAAAATTAAATACTTGTTTGTAATTGTACTATATTAGAGAATTAAGATTTAATTAATCGATGAATTTTGTCAAAAAAATACATAGGCTAATTCAAGGGCTTATTTTGTCAAAAACGGTGCCTAATACTAAACAAGCGTATAGATATGATCATCTAAATACTTTAAGTAAATGTATTCACTTACTCTCACAAGACTAAATACTGAGTAAAAATGTATTTATTGGTTACAATTATTGAAGTGGAGAATTTAGTTGCGGTAGAAACAATGTTTTAACTTTATTATTAAATTAATTTAGATTAGATTAGAGATGTAGATTAATTCTTTTTGTACAGCTAACTTTAAATTTGTACAAATTGCCGAAAAATATCAAATTTAATTAAAATATATTATTTGAAGGGGTTAGAATCAAAAGGATCTAAGTAGGTCGGACATTGTTTTAAGATAATTAAAGTTAAAGTTGATTACTTATTGTAAATTCTGGGTCCATTCATTTAAAATTATTCTTGCCTAAATGAATGCAGGTTAATTAACTAATTCAAAGAATGTTTACCCTTTGTCACCAAATACTGAAATTTATTTTGGCTGCATTGAAGAAAAAGGGAGAGTGAACGTTTAATGTTCGTCAGGAATATTTCTGGAAGTAAAACTAGCACTATCCAAGGTATATCAAACAGGTAGTAGCATTAGAGCAAAAACTAGATTTGCGGGTATTTTGTTGTTGCTTCTGGTATCGAAAGTGTCAAAAACTGTTCTGATTTTTTTCTTCCAAATCAAGGCGTGCCATGTGAAATACAAAAAAAAAATAAAAAATAAAAAATGAAGTTGGAAGAAAAATGATCTTTCTTAGTAAATTCGTTTGCTTCTCGAGGCACTTATCCATCCTTTGCAAGGCCCAGTAATTTTTAACATTTTCGCTATTAATTCTTTTCATAAATCATATATTTTCCAATTTAACACATTAAAACCGCGTTTCCTGTCGAAAAATTAATTACTGAGAAAATTTACTATTTTACAGTTTATTTTATCCTAATGGGAGGCTTTGTTTTCTTTTACTTGAGGAATTTCATCGCCGCTGGGAATGCGGAATCTTGTATTATATAATTCTTGTAACCATATAGTGTTTAGTTTTGGACAATTTTTGCTCTTAAACTTAAGAAAATTATGTCAAGCAAACATAAAACCACTCAAAAACGCGAATATGTGGTAGATTTCAGATCTTGTGTGGTAGATGCTCCAAAAAGTGGCAGATCTACCACAATGTGGTAGAAGTCCGATCACTTATCAGCGGTTGTGCTGCTGAGTTGGGCGAACGTTCCATAGCTGCTATTCAATTGCTTGTTTTGTATGGAAAAAGGTTTCGCATGCAAATATATTTTGACAATCCAGAATAAATTAAAAATATTTGACATTTTCGAGAACAAATAATTTGAAAAAATATCAAATCAGCTGCTCTACTGATACCATGATAAAAATATTTAAAGGTAAAACCATGATAAAAACATAGCAAGGTAGAACCCGTTCTCTCAATTTGTCGGCCATGATTTTTTTTGAAGTTTGCCAGCATTTGAAAATCATATAAAATTGAAAATAAAAATTTGAAATTTCGAAATTGTTGTTGCTTGAGATTGAAAATGAAAATGTGTGTGTGAGTTTTTGAGTAAATTTAAAAATTAAAATGTTTGGAAACGTCAAGAATTTTAAAAGTAACTCTCAGCGGTTCTACCTTACTATATTTTTATCATGGGTAAAACCATTGGGGTAGTAAAAAAAGGGCGAAAAGATTAGGATTATTTTTACTACTTTTTGGGTACTATTTCCAATACATACATATATCAGTGGACCCCACACCAGTTGAATGAAGCTTGCATCAATAAAATATTTTTCTGTAAACCAGTGTAATTGTAGTTTCATTTTTTCGCTTAAAAGAAATTATTATTATTTAATTTTTATTTTTATTATTATTCAGTTATATTTTTCTACCTTAAAATTATTATTTGTAAAACTTAAAGGCCACACAGTCGTACCTCACACATATGATGATGGTTAAAACTTAAAAAATAAGGATTATTTTCCGTCTTTTATTTATTCATATTAAAATAAATTAAATTAAGCATTTCTCTTTATTTAAATGTTCTTAAATTCTACTAAAAATTATATATTAGCCCGTATGGAATTTTACTTGTATTTTTTCCTTAAGTTCTGAAGTACATGTATATGCGTTATTGGAAATTATCGCTCAAATTTTCCAATGAATTTGAAAAGAAAAGCCAAAGCAAAAACGAAACAAAGAAACAGTTACTACGTCTATACGTAAGCTATTTGCAAATAAAAATAATTTGCAAATACCTAATTCACTGTTTATTCGATGGTGAAAAATTCTTTTTTAATATTGATGATAATAAAAGGGCAATAATATGACCATCGAAAAAGAAAATCAAGTTAAAAATGGCAACGTCTTGATTATTAAAAGGCAATAAGATGACCATCGAAAAAGAAAATAAACCTAAGAATGGCGGCGTCTTGCGCTTATTTGCAAATAGTACCACTAATCAATACTTATACGCGTGATTTAGTTATTTGCAAATAAAAAATTAACTCAGCGTTTATACGGCAAAGTTTACCATTTTGCAAATTGTTATTTACAAATAATACGTGCGTATAAACGTAGTAATTGATACCTACGCATACTTTTTTCAAAAAATTGTCTGCTCCATTTTTTGTTCCATTTTGCCCTGAAATGAAACTGGAATGAATAGAGTAGGCATTCCTGTAACGCTGGTATGCCGAAATTGCCAAAATTACAACAACCACCCCCTAAGTGATAACACCTTATTATTTCACCATGGATAAAACCGCTCGCTCAATTCGTCCGCCATTGGGTTTTTGACGTTTGCTAGCATTTTGAGTTTACTCTCTCGAAATAGTTCTAATGTCAAATAAATTCTAAATAAACAAATGCAAAATTTATGATTTGAAATGTTTATTTATTCAGAAGTTGAAAAAAAAACAAAAAAATTGGAAACGAAAAATTAGTTGCCGCTTTATCGGTTGCGGAAATTCCGTTGTCCTCTGCAAGCAAAGCAATATCAAGTTTTTAAGTTCCCGCAATTACCGTATAAAGGCAAAAATGGATCGAGGTTTGTGGTATTATGAAAACGGATTTGCCAAAGTACCCGTATGTATGCTCGGCTCATGTTTTGCCAGACCACTTGACCCAATGTAAGCACAAGATCGTTCTTTGCAAAAGTGCAGTGTCTTTAAGGTAAAATCGGGCTATTCGCGATCCGGTGCAAATGGCCTAGCATCATTGCATTGCAAATTTGTATTGCAAATTATTTACAATACACAAACAAAATACACGCATTTGCATTTGTCATGGCTCGACAAATTTGCAATACCGAAAATCCATAGCATAAAAATGCTATGCATTGCAACTCTGGTTGACATTTCTATCAGCTGATTAAAAAAGTTTTGCCATAACAGTTTAATAAAGGTCGCTCTTATGCACCGAATCGCGAATAGCCCTAATATCTTTAGACGCATGCCAAAATCTGAGCCTTAACATGCGAGCAGAAGTCTATAAAACACAATTTCTTTCATTTATTTATTTACATACATATGTATGTATGTATGTGCATTCAAATTTTGTTGTTTCGACAGAAATATATTTTTTGGTTTGAGTCAAAATAAAAACCAACAAATGAAATGACGGCGAGAGAAATTTTCAAAATGCTAGCAAACGTCAAAATTTCTAAAGCCTGCTCTCAGCGATTGTACCTTATAAATACTTTTATCATGACTGATCAAAGTGCCTGATTTGACACCTCGGAAACTAATTGAAAATGATTTCCACTGTTTCTACCCAATGGTTCCATCGATAACTTAAATTTGTGACACACATTGGTAGAGGCATCGCCTGAGTGCATTCTTTCATATATTTATGTACTAGTTGTACCCTGCCCTGCTTTGCTGTGGCATATCCTGTTACATGGATTATAAATGATTAACGAAATAAAGCATACTTTTCAGACATGATTCAATAAAAGAAAGGTTTTGTAATAAAACGGTCTTCTCGCTTCCACACAAAAAATCGGCTCCTTTACTTGTGCAGAATGTTGCTTACTCTACAGTTTCTAGTGATATTAGTAGTAAAACCAAAAATTCTTCGTACTAAATATTCGTTAGCATCACCTTCGTTTGCGTAATTTTCTAGAACAAGTGTGGAATAGCGACCGTTTAGCTATAAAATAACCAAAATTGATAGTTTTTTACGCTGATTTCAACGATACCAAATCAGGCGCAGGTAAAAAATAAAGAAGATATAAGAAGTCTATTTGCTTTGTTTATTTGTATTTTTTATTATCACTAAATTGTTGAAACCCAAAAGTAGATCATGACAAAATATGTAATATCGAATGAAAGGTAATAACTTGTACTTTCTAAATAATATAATTTTGTTTACCATTAGTTATGCAGTTTTTTCAAAAAAGGTTATTTCATGAAAAAAATAACATTTTTTCGTTTTTTAGTGGTTTTGGTTAAAAAAAAAACTATAAATTATGTAAATAAGCTCAAAGACAAATTAATTATCTTCATGGTGACGTCATTAGTTTTTTAATCGGTTATATATAAGGGATTCACAAAAACGTGTTAACCGTCGTAAAATCTTAAGCTTAACATTTTTTAATGTAAAATAAGGATTAAAATGGTTTTAGAGGATTCCTAACTAAACCGAAATGTTTTTAAACTGATAAAAAATATATAATTAGCAACTTTAACCGTTATTTTACTTAAATAAATGTTAAGCTTAAGATTTTACGACGGTTAACAGGTTTTGTGAATTCCCTAATAGTTCATAAGATATTAATATTTAAAAAATCTAAAAACTGAACTTTAACCTTCTAGAACGTCTTAATTTTTCACTTTCGCCAAATAATTTGGCATGGTTGAAATGAGCATAAAAAGTTCTATTGATCTGCATTTTTCGTTTTTGCATAG